ACAAACTATATTCTTCAAAAAATGTAAGGGATATTCAGAAACAATACAAAACTGCATAAATGCACTGCTGTTTTTATTAGAGGTAACCAATGTATGTTAATAACAGGCCAATTGCCTACACATGAACAAAAACAGTTCATATGGGCGGCTTATCTGACGGCCCCATTTCACTCGCAAAGAGATACACTGCCAAACGTGAAAATGGACGTTTTGATTTTTGTCTTAATAATGAATAATTGCTCCACCAATCCTCAGACATTCAGCAATTCGTCGTGGCATGCTACGAATCAACCGTCTAGTCACGATTTGGGGCAATCTGACACACTCCTCTTGCAGTGCCACGACCAATTCTTGCAGTGTTGTCGGTTGACGTTAACGTCGACGAACACGTCTCCCGATCATGTCCCAGACATGTTCTATAGGGGAAAGGTCAGGACTCGTGGCTGGTCAAGGCATATGGACAATATGGTGACGCTGGAGGTAGGCATGCAGGACACGAGCGCGGTGGGCGCGCGCATTATCAACTTGAAAGATGAAACGTGCATTTTGAGCAAAGGGCAGAACTATCGGTGCCAGGATGTGGTCACGGTAGTACACACCAGTGACCCTTCCTTGAACAATATGCAAGTCTGTTCTGCCAGTCATGGTGATTCCTCCCCACACCATAACAGACCCACGCCCGAATCCGTTATGCTGTCAGACGTTAACGTTAGCATGACGCTCATTTACACGCCTCCAAACGCGAGCACGCCTATCGGTGAAATCCAGAGTAAAGTTTATAGAAAACTGATTGGCCGTTTGTCCTGTGTACGAATGTATCGATCCTGGGCTTGTGTAGTGGCTCAAGGACGACTTGAAAGAGGTCTATCATCAGCATTGTGTGTTTGTTGGTATCGGTTCCACAGTCTGCTGATCACAGACTGTGACACATTAAGCATGTTGGCTACTGCTCGCTGTGTAGAACCCATTTGAAGCCTGCCAATAACACGCAGACGTTCATCATGTTGAAGACGTCTCATTGCAAATTAAACTTAACACGCTAAAGCAAAGATATGCTAAACAGTAAATCTTATGCAAGAACCGATAGGAAAGCAAACATGGATAAGATAAACTTCCTTGAAGTGTCAAATTTGACAATGAACCCCTCCCACGTGTATGGCGTTATTGCGTGTCGCATGTGCAGCTCGGTGGTTCTGTTGAGGCGATAAGTTCTTCATCTGTGAACATCTGAATATCCCCTACTTTTTTAAAGAGTATATATCACCACTTAAAAGACGACGTGACCCGTCATCTATGACATCACTGCCATCACCTTTCCAGGTGCTCGTTCCATATCCAGCTTGGAAGTCAGTTGATAACATAATTTATGCCACGAGGGCTTCTTAGCAAGTATTTCATTTTTTTGTCATCAAACACCCAAGCCTACAAAATAAAGCTTGTTCCACTATTTCTACCCGAAAAGCCGACAAATTTACATTAAGGATCGGACTATACAAGGGCTGGCTGAAAACGTCTAACCCTGAAAAGGATAGATCAATTGGGTTGAAACAAACTTTTGCCATGAATAAGTACAATCATAGAATGAACCATAGACATAAGAACCGCAACCGTAGTACTGGTGTCATTATTGTCTTCGTACCAGACCATCTTGTGAACCTACCCATTGAAATCACCAGAAATAGACAAAACTGGTTATAGGACAGTCATCAAGTACCTGTAACTGAAAGGATTAACCCAAACACAGATACATGCCAACATGGTCTTTACTTTAGGGATGATGCCCCTTACTGTTCCACAGTAAAGAAGTAGGCTTCATAATAGTGTGTTGTAAAGATGAAACACTATTCTGGTTTCAAAACAAATGTGGTATGTGCATAATATATACCAGTATTTGATATCCAGAAGTTGATTTTTCAGAAAGTCATGTAGGCTACATATCTAATAATGCACAAATAATTCGTCGTCCCCATCCTAAATGAAATGTAATAGGATTTACTTTATTGTTTACTGATAAGTGAACTCTATCGTACTTACACTTCCACTCTTCAGAGAATATTTCTTGGTTGATTGAGCTATTGCTCCTGCACTGATAGGATATTTTGATAAACATACAAGGTTACTGCTCACGAACAGATACGATATTTGATAAACGTACAGAGGTGTCGCTCCAGATTGATATGATTTTTGTTAATCTGTATTGCTGCCCTTTTTTATTTGTGTAAATAAAAGTTTATTTCATGTTTTTCCATATCAGGCCGATACTCTAGTCTTGGGGGGGGGGGGGGGCAAACGGTCAAGGCGTTGACTCTTGGCATTACCAATCCTCTGCAGGCCACTGACCATGCATGGGGCTTAGATGTAAAATGAGCAGGTTTCAGATGGTTACTTACGAAAAACAAACTATGCCACATAAGGTTTTGCTTTTGTTTTATGTATGGTAAAATTAAGCATTCATGCCCAGCGGTGAAAAGCAAGAAAATTCAAATAAGTATTTTCTTTACCAACAGGATCACAGTACAGAGATAAAACACGGAGAAGGTTAATGAAAAAAATGGTTGAATGTTTGCAAAGGTTTGTAGTAATTTGATTTCAAAACGTTTATAAAACTAAATATGAGAGGGGGCTGATTGGATTTTCAATAATTAGTATTGATAATATATAGGGTTTCTTTTCAGAGCCCATAACCATGTTGGTTTTAACTATAAAAAAGCGATTGCCATGCAAGATACGCCCACATTTTGCAAGAGATGGACAGAGAACAAGCTAAAAACAAGCGATTTTCTTACAATATAAGGCGCCATAATCCAGGATGTTATAATCTGACATGCGCCACAATCAAAAGAGATATAGACTTATATTTTAAGTTTTATCAAAATTGGGACTCTAAAGAATCCAATCTGAGGGCATAATCCCCTAAAGTTACGGTCCGACATGCGCCAATATCAAAACCAGCGGCTGTCAAGCAGGATACGCCCACATTTTGCAAGAGATGGATAGAGAACAGGCTAAAAACAAACAGGATTTTTTGTACAATCAGGGGCAATAATCCAGCAAGTTATGGTTTGAAATGCCAAAATATCAAAAGGGACTGAGATCTTTGGGATATAAAGATATGTTTTAAGTTTCATCAAAATCGGATAAAAAATTGTGACCTCTAGAGGGTCCACAACCTTCGTAGAATAATTTTACAAAATTTGCGTACAAAGTGCAGCCATTTTGTCGGGCAGTTTCATTTCGATTTTCCCGAAATTCGAATTCAACCTTCATTATGGTGGAATGGTGATATATTTAAACGGTTTTTAAAATCAGAAAAAAAATTGTGACCTCTAGTCTAGAGAATCCGCATGCTAAAAATGCGATTTTTCAAACGATCAGGAGCCATAATCCAGGAAGTTACGGTGTAACGGTGATATATTCGAACGTATATTTAAATCGAATAATAATTGTGACCTCTAGAGGGACTACAAGGTAAAACGCGATTTTTGTACATTCAAGGGCCATAATTCAGGAAGATACAATCCGATACGCGCGAATATCGAAAGGAACCAAGATCTTTGGATATAAATAGTATTTCAACTTTCATTAAAATCGGATCAAAATTATTACCTCTAGAGGTTCCACAACCTTGATTTACCAGATGTTTACACATTTGCGTACGAGGGGCGGCCATTTTGTCCAGCAGTTTTGGCTCGATTTTCACGAAATTCGAAGTCAACAAACATTATGGTGTAACGGTGATATATTTGAACGTTGTTTTTAAATCGAATAATAATTCTGGAAGTTACGATTCAATATGCGCGAATATTGAAAGGAACCAAGATCTTTGGGTTATAAACTTGCATTTCAAGTTTCATCAAAATCGGATCAACAATGTGGCCTCTAGAGGGTCCACAACTTTGATATACCAGATGTTTACACTATTTGGATACGAGGGGCGGCCATTTTGTCTGACAATTTTGGTCCGATTTTCATGAAACTCAACCTCAGACAACATTACTGTGTAACGGTGATATATTTGAACGCTTTTTTTTAAATCTGATAATAATTGAGACCTCTAGAGGGACCACAAGCTAAAAACGAGATTTTTCGTACAATCAGGGGCCATAATTCAGGAAGTTGTGGTCCTATATGCGCGAATATCGAAAGGAACCGAGATCTGTGGGTTATAAACATACATTTCAAGTTTAAACTAAATCGGATAAAAATTGTGACCTCTACAGTGTTCACAAACAATTGTGGACGTCCGGACGGACTGGGGCGACGACAATATACGTCCACATGAAAATGTGTGCGTATAATGAACCGAAATCTTTGGGTTATAAACATACATTTTAAAATCAGACAAAAATTGTGAACTATAGAGTGTCGCCAAGCTAAAGACACTTTTTCGTACAATCAGGAGCCATAATCAATGAAGTTACGGTCCGATACATGCCAAAATTCGAACTCAACTGTCATTATGGTGTAACAGTGATATAGTTATTGGTTTTTAAAATCGGATAAAAATTGTGACCTCTCGAGGGTCCACAAGTTAAAAACGCAATTTTTCGTACATAATCCATGAAGTAATAGTCCGATACCTGCCAATATCGAAAGGAACCAAGATCTTAGGTATTAAATCCTATATTCCAAGTTTGTTCAAAATCGGATAAAAAATGTGACCTATAGAGTGTCCACAGTCGATAATATATGTCCACATGAAAATATGGGTGTATAAAAATCCAGGTGTTTTTCCATTTGGAATGAGTGGATTCAGGGAAGATGGGATAAATGCAAGAGTTTTTACTGAGTGATGGAGAGTTGGCATCTCCATGGCTATATTGTGTGAATTTTAATTTTTCTGGAATCACCTGGCATAATTGTGTGAATCTTTCCCTTGCAACTACATGTAAAAGATATCTGTCTAGGTTTCTATGGAAAAGAGAAGTACTAGGCTATCATATTACAGACTGTGATTTTATTCCAGTGACAAAAAAGGTCATTGATAAATGAGCCGAATCTGGTTTATAAATATTTTATATCAAATAAAAAAATATTCCAAAGTTACATTGTAGACAGAATATCATGACATTTGACAGAAACAGATCAATACATAAATTATATCCTTTACAACAATTATATGATAAAAAGAAAATTGAGCTAGATTTTAGAAGGCTAGGGGTATACATTTACATTTACTGAGATATCTTAAAATTTAGAATTACGAGAAAAAAAACAAAAAAAACAAACAAAAGGACTGTGTTCCATCTCCTATTTACACCACCATCATGGACACTAAGGTTGAATTCAACTACAAAGACAAAACATATTTGTTGCAGAAATCAACCTTACAAGTAATGGTTTGGAAATCCTATTCTGCTAGTATTTCAATTCTAAAAATAACCATTACAAGTATAATAATAGTAATAGGTGATTAATGTTGTAGTCTATAGCTTAGATGTTACCCAACAAATCCTCTATTTCTTCACTGCTAAGGATTATCTATCCCCATTTACTGGCACAAATTGTGTTAGTGTCTTTTTTGTTTGTGTACTGTAAATGTTAACTACCAGTTAGGGACAGAGAGACAATTGAGCTTTATCGTCCAGTCAACTAAAACTAGCTTATTTCAGGACAAATATATGGTACATCTACAGATGGGACCAAGTATAGCCCTGGTGAAAAATCACAATCTCGTTAACCATAAGAAAACACACCTTTAATTGAGAACTAGACAGAAGAAGATAAAGCCTAAAGACTAAATGTTCACCTTACCTGTACTAATTGTTCTTATAAAGAAACAATAATTAAAACATGTTTGCCCTAATACATTTAATAATATATAATCTAGTTAACTAAAATCAGTGCCAAATATCCCAACTCGAATTCTACTGGTTTGAAATTCCAGCAGTACTGAGAGCTAGGCCTTATAATATCTATGACAGTTTGTTTCAAGTATCAAACTATAAGTAATGAAATCAACATTGTGCAACTAATTAAACATGGATAAGATCATACGAATACTGTATACAAAACAGTTCATGAATACAGCGTATCTAGATGCATTAACTTGATCTTATTGATGTCACATTCTGTTTATCTAGATGCATTAAATTGATCTTATTGATGTTACATTATGTTTAAACAGTAGGGCATTAAACCCAATCTGTTTACATAGGTATTGTGAAACCCTTCTTATACTTCTGTATTAGATGACTGACCTTTACAAGTTCAAGTATGCCCTCTACAGGTGACTTTGCATCACAGGGCATCCATCGTCTATAGCGCATGCATTGTTTACATAAGACGTTGTTGTGTTAACTGTTTCAGGCAGAATTGTGCCTTTTACTCATTTTATATACCCATTTACACTAAATAGGAAATATTTTTTATCTAGATATACTTCAAACATTTCTATTTATTTTTCTAATACTTAAACAAAATGTTCATTAAGCCACACCGATGTCAGTGATTGTAGTGGCCTAGAGAACATTCACTGCTAATCAGTATGCATTAAGTAAATATATATGAGCAATATAGTCCAAATAATTGAAAATTCCAGAAAAAATATAATAATTCTAACATTATTTACCCCATTAATTTTCAATATCATTTAAATATGCATAAGATAAAAAGAAACTTGAATAAAACCTGACAGAAAAAGAAGTAACTCTATGTATTATTTGCATAAATTATAATCAAAAGCTAAATGATTGCATATATCGATACATATATACAATAAAAATAATGTACAACAATATACAAAAGAATTAAGACAATGAAAACATGAAAGAGGGCGCCAATATTTTCCAAAGCATTGCCAATGAAATAGTTGAAGAACAGACTTCATAAACATCAATTCCAGGATTCTCCGCTCAAATGCTTTCCTGAAATGAATGCATTTGTGACATCACTGGCAGCAACAGAACTAGTAATTGTTCAACAGAAAGAATAAATACATAGTTCAAAGTTAAATGTCATCTCCAAGCACAAAATGAATACATTTGACTGATTCATTCATAACATGGCCATATATCAGCCAAGGATTCCAAATTGAAAGGTCTAATGAATTCTAAAATGAAGGGTAAGAATGTCCAGTTAGTTAAAGAGTAAATATTGTAACATGATTAATACTTCTAAATGCAATTACTACATATATACATAATAATATACACATTTCAAGGCAAGAACCAGTTTATTTTAGCGCCTTCCTGATTTGGCACCCCAATTAAATCTATTCTTAAAATATTGAGAAAACAAACTGATTCCAGCCTTTATTATCTCTAAAATAATAAATAACACATCACAATGCTTGAGTTAATAAAATATATATTGAAAGATACCTTATAACATATAATAATAAACATTAATTAATAATTTGTAACTGCTATAAACAACTATTTCAATAATTCAAAGTGATTTATGTTGAGGAATGACATGCAACAACCTTATTAGGCTTAACAATCATATGCTGTATGTAAGGATTTAGATCTAAATAATAATGTGAAGATACTTTAGCTGATGACAAGTCTTTGGAGATAAAATCTCAGTACAGAAAATAAAACAGACTCCCACTAACAGGAACACTGACCTATATCTAAGCAAATCAACTTTAATCACAGCATTTATTCTACTGTGTCCATTCATATTTCAAAACTTGGTAAAATTTAACTAAAGGTCAAGAATAAAATCTTACGCTGTTGTAGCTCAGGATATGGGACCTTCAACAGAATTTTTGATTGGTGTTAAAAACAATGAAATAAAAAAATAAAACATTGCATGAAATTCTTATTTATAAAAACTTAAAATGACATTACAAATAGAAAGCAGTCCTTGTTAATCAGTTTAAAATTCACTGTATTGAAAATAATAAAATCTGTAAAACAGAATTATGGAAGCCAATTGTGACAATATCAGTTTTAAGGCCATTTGCTATGTGTAGTAACTCCTAACTATAAATAAGGGCATATTAAAAAATGCCAATTAGAACTATGTATCCTATAATTATGTTAATTTAATTTCAACAGACTTATAGAAGCCAATTTGGGCTATTCAGTTCAGTTTTAGGCCTTTTTGCTATGTGTATCTGAAATTGGATGAACTCCTTATCGCAAATAATGGCATTTTGAAAAACTACCAATTAGAAATTTAATTATATTGATTTCAAGATTATCTGCTCTTCTTGGTAAAATGTGATTTGTTATGATTTCTTGTATTTAATGATGGCAAATTATGACAAGAATGTAGAGCTGGGCAATATCCTTGAAAATAGATATCGCGATATTTTCAGAAAATGTCAATAATTTCAGTTTATCACCTTTTAAATGTAAATAGACATGTTTAAAAAGTTGGAAATACCCCCGGAGTATTCACTTGACATTTTCTAGACAATATTATTACAAGTACTAAATTTACAAACAAAATTTAATGAGCTGTAAATTTAATATGTATATATAGCCATGAAGACTTGCAAACAATGTCGGTTTATGTTGTAATTGTTTATTACAATTATAATTTCCAATATATTAATTATGATATTTGATTTAAATTAAGAATATTTACATATGAAGGAGGCACAAAAAAAATTAAGAATATTTACATATGAAGGAGGCCGTGCATATTCACTTGCCCTTGCAAACTCATTTTTCTCATACAAGCATATGCTTCACAATACACTGAGTTAAACTATAAATAAAACGTAAATACTATGTCAAAAAGTATCCACGGATTTTGCCAAAGAGCGACTTTTTGGAACACGGGCCGCCATGACACTTCCAACGGTGAATGATAATCAGTCTATTGGTACACTCTATATAGTTTCAATATTTATATTTCTGCTTTATTAAAAATTTGTTTCAATCAGAAACTCAATGACTCCTTTGGAAAATCAAAGTATCCGTATAAACAATTCGTCAAGATGCATTGAAATTGAACAGAAGCAAGGATAATTCTTACAGTATCCTCAAGTGGAAAAGTGAGCGAGAAGTCATGTGACGAAAACAAAGCTCTTTAACGGTGTTTGCAAACTTCATGGAATGAATAGTCTGCAGTTTATCTAACAGTATTTATTCATCTCAAAGCAATAAAATATCATAAATAACATTAAAAGGAAGTCATTTTTCAATATTTATGTTAAATATTATCCAGAAAATCAAAACCGTGATATATATCGGTATGTTCGTTTTTTCAATATTTTTTTTAAGACAGTATATTTGATGGTTTTTATTTCTTTTGACATTTTTATATCGAAAAAATGAAATATCACCCAGCTCTAACATAATGCGGTTTTGTATATTTATGAATATGAGTTCGAGGTACAGTATATGAAATGTACCAATATTTTTATTATACAGTACATGAAATATATCAATATTGTAAAAAAAAAATTAAATTTAAAATTGATAGTTGGGAGTTTTACTTGAATAACCTGAATAAGTTTTGTCAAAAATGTTTTCTAGTCTTTCATTGACTCCTATCAAATAATGTTTGAAACCACAAAATAAAACAAAAAATCTTTCAACTTTAGGCTACACAAAATAAATGTCTTGTTTCTCGGGCAACTGACAGCTGAAACTGTAGGGGGGGGAGGGCGGTTTATTTTTTTTTTTATCTCATTTCTGGCTAGAGGATGGTGCAAAATAAAATTTGCCTATTGTTGAAAATTGTTGGGGCGGGAGGGCGGCCTTGTATTTTTTTTTTTTTTTTTAATGAGAAAGTCATTACTTGTCTACGGTTTTGCTTTCAGTTATATATTATACATACTTAGAACATAAATCCAAAAATCAAGTCTACTCAAACACTGAACACTGACTGAAAGGAAAATAATTTTCCATATTTAATTCACGTAATGTAGCTTACTAATGGTAATGGTGACAACCATAATTGAAATTGGTTTAAAATAAAATTCCGTACGACTATTAATAGCTGTCCATAATAACGACAATATTTTAAAGAGTAAGCCTCTGTCAGCATGTGTATCAAAAATAATCATCACGGTAAACGACACTTCGATCTAAATCTAGTATCGCTGGTTTATAATGATTGACCTAATTCCAACCAATGCATGTCACGTGTCATCGGGATTCGTGAAATGACTGTTTCTCAGGATATTTGGTGTGTTTCTCAGCATATTCGGTGTTCTATCTGGGGTTTATATCGAATGACTATTTAAATTTAACTAACAACTCGTCAGTAAAACCATCAAATGTGTAATCCAATTATTATTTTCCGGATTATCAAAACTACCGTTAAACGTGCTAATGACCCAGATTCTGACTAAGGTATGGTGACTATCATCGTATCGTATTCGTAGCCACAAGTTATAATAATTAACCTGTTCTACGATTCATTGTTTTATAAGTAGGATTTTTTCAAACATGGACCGACTGAAGCCGGCAATAATGAGCCGATTAAGATCGAATGATTGAATTACATTGCATTGTTGTCAATGACTTTCGGTGTTTAACACGAATCAAATTCTAGTTCACAAGGGGAGGTAATTAAAATCACGTGATACAAAAATGGAGGTTCTTTCGATATCAATAAAAAAGACCCGTAAATGAGCGTTTACATCTGAATCAGTTTAATACATTTGAATGGATATTCACGAATGGGGCATGTAGATACATGCGGCATATTTTTTTTATGACTTGCTTATCGATGTTCGGGCGGGCGTTACATATTTTTTATTTTTCATCAAGACTAATAAATAGGCCGCACGCGCAACCAATTTTGCGTGCGGGCGGTGCCCGAGAAACAACTTATTTTATTTGTGTTGCCTTAGAAAGGTTACCCACCCTGCCTATTCCCAAAACTGAATATGTGTCTACAATAGTTATTTCACTGAATCCACACAATTACCATTAAGTTTATAAAAAGAAATGAAATAAACATTAAAATACAAGAAATGATTGCTCAACTGTTCAGCTGATATGATGTATTTGTCTTTGGTTTTTATTTTTAGATCAGACCTCGAATGATGACTGTAATTGTCTGTTCACTGGATTAAATTGCAAGGGACATAACCATGATAAAGGATGACCTGAAACAAGTAGCATAGATAAAGTGCTTTTAATTTACTGGCAATGAAATGAAATTAAATGGGGTTTAACATCCTACTGTTCTGCTCCGAACTGGGCTAGTGAAGACGGGCATACGTCATACAGTGTGCTATGAAGGAAATTTTGTCCGGACAGCAGCACTATGGCCTACTCTTATATCGAATTCAAACTTTCAAGGGATCTTTTAGGTGCACGCCAATGTGTACATAGAACCTTGGTTTTTCATCCCATTCAAATGACTAGACAGCTGTCCTTGTCAGACCCTCCATCCTGCATCACTGACAGAGGGGAACAACGGAATATCTGGATGAAATTTCTCAGCCAGTGCAAGGATCGAACACCTGACTTCCAGGCTAGCGAGCCAGTGTCTTACCCGCTTAGCCATCATGACCCCCCAATTTACTGGCAAAGACATGAAAATGAATTGATGAACATTCTACTTTGGTCACTTTTGGATAAAATGAAATGAAATGGGGTTGAAAATGGTCCTACTGATTTACACCAACACAGCTAATGAAGATGGGCATACGCCATACAGCGTGCTATCAGGTTCATTTTTCCTGGCCAGTGGCACTACAGCCTACTCTTACTTTGAATTCCAACTGTCAAGGTTTTTTTTACATGCACGCCAATGTGTACCACGGGCCCTCTTTTTTGGGGGGTCCCATCCGAACTACTATACATTGTCCCTAGCCAGACCGCCCCGTCCTGCATCCACATTATTGGGTGTGATTTGAAGGTGTACCAAATTAAAAATCTTGTTCTGTACCAAAACTTACCACGTCCAAAGACCTCTTGAAATAATGCCATCCTGGATTTCGGTTGTCTTTTGTATGAATTTGAATCTTTCTTAACTTGTTCTACTAATGTTTCATCATTTAGAATTGAGGATATCTTGGAAAACAAAAAGAAAAATACAGATTTTAAGAAAAAAGATTTCTAGAGAATAAGGAATTTTGTATAAAAAGATCAAGGACAAGAGGAATTATTCAGCTACATGATATAGGTAGATGCACATGTACTAGTGCTCCTATAGCTAGTCAGATAACCGCAAACAGTTAGAATTTGACAGTTAAACGGTTCGAATTGCACAGTATGAACCGCAAACAGTTAGAATTTGACGGTTAAACGGTTCGAATTGCACAGTATGATTATTCAGAGATGTCCACCATTACATAGAGTTATGTCCCATTATATTCCTCTTTATAACAAAAGATGTCTGTTGTCCTTTTGTATTTTATTTTTAAAAATCTTAGAATGTAACTGTCGCCCTACGATGTCTGCTAAAATATAATACTATTAAATAGCACTCATAGTTGTACGGCAATGTCAGTGGACCTTGTTCTGACTTTTGCTTTGTTAATACAATCCAAATACTTTTCACTATTTCTTACTATATTCGACCTTGCTTAATATTTATTTAAAAATGTAACCACCATGCAAAATATAATCAGGAAGGCTAGAAAATGACATTATAGTAGATTCGTTACGACATTCTCCACGTTTCATATCTCAAAATTTCTCTACTTTAGTTTTTAGTTAAATTAACCAATCATAAAAATTCTACTTGCAAGCCCGAAATTATTTCTTGATTGTCCAATAAATAGACACCTTCCAATTTACTTTATTCTATTCTTAGTAACATTGTGCACTCGTAATATGTCACGTACAATGGGAAACAGAGTACTGTCTTGAAATTTATCCTAGATATTGAATTAAAAAAAATGGTTCAATAATCAAATAACATTTCTATGAAAACTTTCCTGAAACATTTGCGCACGTAATGCCTTTTAGGCGAGAATAGCATCCGCGCGAGTAATGACTCACACCTCCTGAAAAGGCTGTTTTATGTTGAAAATTGGTACTAAACTGTTAAACCGTTACTAACTGGTTAATAGCTATATGGTTATTCGAATAACAAAAAGTCCTAACCATAGGAGCACTAACATGTACATACTTTGCTGAAGTATTAAAGTGAAAGGAAACATTCTACCGATGTACTACCACAGGTTTCAAGTGTTGGACTGTAATGCAGAACCTTCCGGATCCATTTAATTCTTTCCAATTTCAACATGTTAGATAAGCTTCTTACAGCTGTATCAGCATGCTAAAATTTCGCTGTGGCACCAGCATGCTAGAAATTCATAGTGATACTGACAAGATCAAAAGTTGTGGATTCAATGTATCTGGGCGAAAAAGCACTAAATACACTTTGGACTGTACTGTATAACCTACCTGATCACAGCCGATAGCAACAACAAACAAACCAAACAGAATCGACTCAATCACTAATATAACAGAATGTATTCTGAAAATTATAAAAGAAATGGAAAGAAATGAGGTTTAGACTAGAGTCCTACTTTTCTGCATAGACCGAGCTAACGAAGACGGGCATATACAATGCAGTGTGCCATGAGGAAAATTTTGCCCGGAAAGCGGCGCTATGCCCTACCCTTATTTCAAATTGCAACTGTCAAGGTTATTTTACCGGCACACTAATGTCTACACAGGACCTCAGTCTTCCGTCCCATCCAAAAGATCGCCCACTGACAAAGTGAAACCATGGCGGAAAATGCTGAGGAACTTTCTCGACCAACATAGGGATTTAAATTATGATGTCCTGGTTAGCAAGCCAGCGCATTACTCAATGAACCACAGTAGCTCCCAATTATAAAAGAATATGTAAAGACATTATGTCATCCAATGTACTGGGGAAAAGGCAAAGTTACGCATGCAGAGAGGCTGAGTATGGATATATACTAAACGTGTGGGGTTTATAGAACTGTGGGCTGTATTACAACAGATATGAACAAATAACAGCAACCATATAGAAAATACATTAGGATCTATAAATTTAACTTACAATTTGGTATGTTTTAGTTCTTTTGGAGATCCTGGGTCTATGATCCATGCAGCTATAGTCAACCCAAAAGCATAAACACTCAACAAACCTGAAATAAAAACATATACCAACATGAACCTTTATACAAAGCAAAATTTTCACATGCAACAGGCCTACATAATATCTGATGTCAACATTCACAATGTTCATATGTACATGGTTAGGTTTCTTATTCGAACAACTTTACTAATGGCTTTTAAATTTTAACAAGACCATTTAAATTTTAACAAGACCTTTTAAATTTAAATCATCCACAAAACTTTTCAAAGTGAAAGTTTTGACACTGAAAAGAGAGTTTGTGTTGGTCACATCAATAGGCACACATTACATTCAACATATTTTATATAAAAGGGTCAGATTTTCAATTCATACATTCACTCAAATTCACTTTAATAATTTTTTTTTTATTTAACCAAAATATTATGTGCATCCTTGAGTAATAGAAACTATAACTGGATCAGAGAGTGACAGCATGGTCAGTCAACATCTCATCACCTTCCTGCCATGAACTCCAGCAGTTTTGATAAGGTTATATATTAGTTATTGGATTTTAATAGGTATGACTAGTCACTGCACCTTTAGTAGACTTTAACAGGCAAAATGTTAACAATAAGATAACTCAAAACGCAATCCAAATTTACAAAAGGTTTACATGATCTCTGGTTCTCTCTTTGCCCAAATAATACTTAAAACATATTAAAATGACATTAATAAAATCACTTTATTACTTACCCACATAAAATAAAAACTGAATAAAAAACTTCTGATTAAACTCTCCAACACAATTATTTATCCTAAAAAAATATTGAATATCAAGATTTAATGACACTATACAATTATAAATTTCTGCGCAAGAGAGAAAAACAATTAATCCTTCAAAAGATTTACTCGAAGATATGACTTTATGTATGCTAACATCCCATGTAACAGTTGAGTTGAGAACATATTAGCCTATAAAATTTGTTTAAATATAGGTTACAAATTCATTAAAATTTGTTTTATATCTATAGTTAAACAAATAGTGACAGTGACTTACCATGGACAATGATGATCCATTCGTCTGATACACTGACGACAGACTCGACAATGATGTGCTCTTGGAGGTCGATATGTTTCACATTTTATACATACTGTCCAGCCATCTTTCTGTAAAATAGAAATTTCAGTTAACAAATTAAGACAAGCATACTAAACAGCCCTGTATGACATTCCAGCTAAATAGCACTATGCCTAAATGATACTCATGTATGCTATTAAATCAATTATGAAGCAAGCGACTTGTCACTCAATACAGGTACATGTAACTTTTTTGACATTTCCAGGCCTGTAAATATTATATTACATACATGTATCCTGCAATGAAAGAAGAAAATAAAGAAAACATACCGATTGGACAGGATTTCCAGCATGATGATCCGAAAAATCCATACTTGTGGATGGTAAAGGAACTATTCCTGGATCTGATAATACAGCCCGTAGATGTGAAATAGTCAATAAAAATACAATCATGTTGAAAAACACAACATTTACAGCTCCCCACATACTGAAAAGAATATTTATCAATAAACTTCATATCAATTCAATTTTCGTTTGTAAAATGACTATATAGTTACATCATTGGAGTAGGCCAGCACTTTTTCAATAAGTCAGTTCATTGGGATTTTATGATATGGTTTCCATCAGTGGTGCAGCATGGAGGGCCTAACAAGGACAGCTGTCTAGTCATTTGGATGGTGTGAAAAACCGAGGTCCCATGTATACATTGGCATACACGTAAAAGATCCCTTGGAATTCGATACAAGAGTAAGCCATAGTGCTGCTGCCCGGGTAAAATTTCCCTCATAGCATACTGTATGGTGTATGCCCGTTTTCATTAGCACAGTCGGAGCTAAACCCCAGTAGGACTTAAAACCCCATTTCATTTCATTTCTTCAATAAGTATAGGTACCATAGTTAAATCAGCATCGATGACATTATAAGGCCTATTTAAATTACAAAACAATTTAGTTTTGAGAATTTTCTGCCGTGTGGAAGGGAGACAAAATCCCATATAGGCTATCTTAAAATGAGAAATGATCAAAAAGTCCTCAAACCAGGCCTTGTTCTCCTGACTTAAAATTAATTTGTAAACATTAGGCAGTCAATGGAAAACAGTCACATTTAAAATCTACAGTAAAAGTGGTAACTAACTTTAAGTGTTGAATATGTTCCTAATGCCATCGGTAGCACAACATTTCAGTCTTGCGACTTTTCTGACTCCACACAAATGACAGTTCAGACTCAGCTGGCGACTTTTCATACTTACATGTACTTACATGTAATGACTGTACTTAATGAGGTTTCATACTCAGTTACGCCACGGACAATAATAAATGATGAATAAATAAAACATCATTGAAAATATATGTGTATATTAGTAATACCTGTACTTCATTGTTTTCTTGTATGAAAGAGTAAACAAGCTTGATTGGCCAAGCACGGCCAAGATTACTTCACATTCTACAATACATGTAACATCAGGATTATCCTGTATCGATTAATCGGCTTTAATTATACCACTTTAATCGTTGCTGTTTTTAATATTTTTTTCGAAAAGACTATTCTTTGTTTGCACTATATTTATCGATTTGTACTGCCTTCTAATGCACGCTTATCGAGGAATGCATGTCAAAGTGAGTTTACAGTTTATCGTTAAAAAATGTTAGGGACTTGTAATAACCGTGAATGTCGTATGTAAATATTTTCCTTTGTGTTTTGAGTAGGTCATTTTCAAATAAATTCATCGGCATATTATTCTTTTTTTAAATAAATTAGTTTTACAGAAAATGATAATTATCAACGAACCGTTAAGAGCAGCTGGTTCTTGAGTCCCAACTGTTGTGCACCCGATTCCTAAATATCTTATATTATATCCTAATCTGAAACGTCGAGACATATTTTTTATTGATTGGGGCCGAAATGTTAGTAGTCTGATATGTCGTGGGATCGAAATGTCCTGTAATCATTCCATCATAGTTAATACGGTCCCGCGTCATTTCGGACTTACGACATTTCGGACTTGGGTAGGTGACGTTTCGGACTTGGGAAAAAGTTGAAAGGTAAGGTTGAACCCAATTGTCAAATCAATCTATGATAAACCAATTTAAAAGCGACTTTATACAAAAAATAACATGCAGGTAAAATTTACCGCTCGCAATCAAGTACAGCATGTGGAATCGTGGATCATGCATCGTATAGATCTCTCAAGAAACTGCAAAATTTTCAATGTTGAATGTTTATCTGTAAAATGTATATAAAAAGTAGCTGATGAATTTATTAGAAATAGGCCAATTCAAAACATGAAAGAAAATATTAACACGAAACACATGGTTATTAAAAGACTCAACCAAACGATAAAACATAGTTGTACTTACGGTTCTTTATCATCGTTTCTCGTTAAAGTAATTTATTTTATTAAAAAAGAATAATATGCTGTAGAATTTATTTCAAAATGACCTACACAAAAAAACAAAGTAAATATTTACTTGACACGCACTGTTTTTACAAGCCCCTAGAATTTTTTAACGATAATCTGTAAGCTACACGTCGACATGCATTCCTCGACAAGCTTGCCATAGATAGCAGTACCAATCAATAAATTAGTGTGTAAAAATAAAACTCTTTTTAGAAAATATTAGAAATGGCAACGATCAAAGTAGAATAATTAAAGCTGATTAACCGATAATCCCAATGTTATTGTAGTATGCACAAAGAAACCTTACAGTTCTTTAGTGGACGAGGAAAAATGTGAGTTGTCAATCAGCGATAATGGCGGCCGAGTGTTGATTCGATTATTTAATTATTCATCCGAGTCCGAAACATCGCCAGACTGAGTCCGAAAAGTCGTCAATAAGTCTGAACCATCATAAAGTAAGTCCGAACCATCGTCAGACTGAATCTGAAATGACGCGGAACCGAAATGACATGTTACCTAACCGTAAACCAAATCATATAGCCTAATTATACGGTGTAACAGTAAGGTTTCACCTTTATTTCAATGCAAATTGGTTTGTTATATGTTAAAGTAGCTAAGTCTCTACCTCAATATCATCAAAAATCTTCGACATTGAAAACACAAATTATTTGTCAATTCAAATCAACATTGGTCTTGTGATCTTACAGGGAAAAGATGGGCTTCTGATATCCAATATTCAAGACAAAATAACCATTTTACCATTGGTACACGAATCGTGTACCATAATGCGTTTCATCGCCATTTGGAACAAGGGACTCAAAGAACAGGGCTAGACATATTCCACAAGTCACGTCAAATGGTGACGCTATATTCTTATCTGGAGAGCATGCACAATAAATACCATCGGTGTAGACTGGAAAAGCAAAACGCTAAAGATTGCCATTCACATGAGACTTCTGGCGTATTTCGCCGAACATAACTGATTAGAAATTACAGTTAAAACAGGAACGATTAAATGTAATTCAGTTTATATACATTCATATTACATTATCATATGCGTTGCGACCCATTTTTGTCAATTTCTAGGTCCCAAATATTAGCGATTTAGCAGTACAGTTTGGGGTCAGTGTAATTTGAAATTAAGGGAGTTATAGGCCAGTAACTTTTTTGTAGTCAAATGACTACAAACTTGCTCAAAGCAAAGGAAGACCTTAGGCTTAGGACGGTCCACTAATGTGGCTGGAGCAAGACGGAACCCATCAGTAGTGGAAACATTTCTAATTTAGACCTAGCTACGAGAACGTAGCTAAAACGTTGAGATATACTGATGTGTTTGTTTTTAGCTACGATTGGATGGCCTTAGTTCCAAGTGGCAAACTCAATTTCTTTATTAATGCATATTACATCTTTAAAATAAGATGAGTTTATCGAAATCCATTCATAGTTAAAATGCTTTAGATTGCCCTTTTGATTGGCTGTTATAAAAGCCTTATATTTAGCCCCGCCTTCATGATGACAGCTTATCGTTTAAAAAGATGGCGGTCTTAGTAACGGCTTAACGCCTCGATTTAAAAATGACGATTTGTACCCGTTTCAGGTAGGATTATATATGCTAAATTGTAGTTGGATGTGGCAGAAATATTATAAATAACAATAAATTATCAATCATTGTTTTGATTAAAAATATTGTCAATTTTGTTTACAAATGCCGGGTGCGAATCGCTCCCGCATGTGCTACATTGGAGTTAATGTTAATGGCATCATTTCTAATCTCGAAACACGGAGGGTTGAGAGGTAAGATTTGTTATCTAATTTAGACCTAACTCTGTTTCTGAACGAGAAAATACATCAACATGTAGCCTACTAATCAAATGTATCTGGATGACCCGAATTAGGTGCGCCCTGGGATTCGTGGGAATCTCAGTCTTGAGTCCAAGCCTTGAAAGTTGAATAGTCTGTCTGATCTTCAGAGGACAGTACTGAGTACAGACAGTGTAGTCGTTTACGGATAACATATTACCTTTCAGCCATGGTTGGAATAACCAAATGTCGTACAACAACATAGTCGGCATAAAAAACAGCAGTGTAAGTTATCAAAATACAAATCACCCCACAAGGGTCGCCTCGAAATACAACCATTCCGAAATCTGAAAAAACACTACCACCATAATCCGATAATTTTTTCCAGTGGGAGTTATTCGCCCTTTACCGGTGATGACGAAATTAAGTTTAGTGGGGTTGCTGAGTTTCACAGCAATGTTAAAATTACAGTCACCGTTCGCTTGATCAGAGCAGGTAGCTAGAGTCTAGAGTTGATTTACGTAACTAAGAGTCAACTCTTATGAACGTCACGGCAAGTAAATAGTAGTGTGTAACTCAATAAATTTATAATGTAGCCTAGGCCCTAGACTGATCCCTCGAACCTCCGTGTCTGATCTTGATGAGGCTAAACTTTAGCCTAAAGCCCCGTTGACATGATCACATATTTATTTTCCGTACCGGTAACCGATTCTGAGCAGTGAGATATGGCGACGAAATGAAATGGGGTTTAATGTCCCGCTGTTTTGCTCCAAACTGGGCTAATGAAGATGAGCATACGCCATACAGTGTGCTAGGAGGGAAATTTGCCCGGACAGCGGCACTACAACTACAGCCTACTCTTAAATTGAATTCCAACTCTCAACAAATGAACAAGGTATCTTTTACGTGATAAGTGCAGCCAATGTGAACACGGGGCCTCAGTTTTCCATGCCATCCAAATGACTAGACTGCTGTCCTTGTCTGGCCCTCCGTCCTGCACAGGGGCGGATTGGGGCCTGGAACCGACACGGGAGCTGGGGCCTGGAACCGACCCGGGCTCCTGTGTCAGAGCGGCTCCTTTAACTGACTGCGGAGCCCGGACGGGAGTCCTCCCCCCCCCCCACGGGAAAATTTTGAAAAATGAACCCCAAATATGCGATTTGGTGGCATATCTGATTATAACCTCTGTCAAATAATATATCTCATAAATCAATTAATTTAGGCCAGAACCCTGACCTGCAGGTATATTTACAACCATCAACCTGTGAAATTATCATATCATTAATTAACGTATTATCATTGTATCGTCAAGAGTCAAGAGAATTTAACTGGTTAAAAAATGGGACTAGTTGAGAAAATTTTGACCATTTGATTAACCAGTTAGGAATATTGAATAAGTAGGAATATTTTCATTGAAAAATGTCCCACTTTTGATGCCGGGAGCGCTAGTTGATTCCTTCTGTGATGGAAGGCCACGAGACACATTGGTACAGAGTGACGGAAGTGAAATTCATGAAAGCTGCTTTTTGAATTTTGGATTTGTTGTTCCAGGTAAATTATTTTACCTTGACTCCGAACTTGAACATTTGACACACTAAATATTCACAGTGTCGGGTGAATCCGATGAAATTTTCGGATGCAATTCGGAATCCCCATTGCAGGATTCCGAATTCCAGCCCACACCCAGCACACACCCAGCACACCCGTCCCAGAAAGTCTGTTATACCAGCCCATTCCAGACTCTAGTGATGTTGTGACGGCCCGTTAAAGCCACCGGCCACATACAACATGGTCATCATCGCTCCATGGCCGGTCCAATACTACCCCCCCCCCCCCCATATTGTTCAGCAGAAAAAAGGATTTTAGACGAATAGGACAAAATTATTTTTTTCATTTTTTGTCTGATCGCCCAATCCGCCCCTGGTCCTGCATCAAAGGGAGAACCACGCCGGAAAATATGGATGAACTTTCTTGGCCAATGCAGAAATCGAACGGCCCGTTAAAGCCACCGGCCACATACAACATGGTCATCATCGCTCCATGGCCGGTCCAATACTACCCCACCCCCCCACCCCACCCCCCATAATGTTCAGCAGAAAAAAGGATTTTAGACGAATCGGACAAAATTATTTTTTTCATTTTTTGTCTGATCGCCCAATCCGCCCCTGGTCCTGCATCAAAGGGAGAACCACGCCGGAAAATATGGATGAACTTTCTCGGCCAATGCAGAAATCGAACACCCGACCTCCAGCCTGAGCCAGCGTGAGATGACTACGAGAACGTAGCTAAAAACATTGAGATCTGTGATGTGTTTGTTTTTAGCTACAATTGGATGTCTTTAGTATCACCTGGCAAACCTAATTTCTTTATTAATGCTTACAAATAAATTAATTTTATACATACCCAGCCCAAAGTAGTGAAACAATTACATTCGTTTATCTCATAATTAACAACTCGTAAATGGTCGTACTTCTTGCATATTTTTATTACCTATTCATTCAGCCAGCTACATAGGATTATCACTTCGATTTAAAAGAGATGGTTTGTGCCTCTGTCAGATAGGATCATATGCTTAATTGTAGTTGGGTGTGGCAGAAATGTAATGAATAACAATAATCAATTGTTTTGAAGAAAAAATTGACAGGATTGCTTACCAGTAGCTAAAAATGTTGAGATTATATACTGGATGTGTTTGTTTATTGTATGGCTTCAGTTTCACCTGGCAAACTTAATTTTTGTAACAATGTATGTGACATTATAAAAATAAGTTAATTTTATACTATTAATGGGTTGTGGTCATAATGGCCTTAAGCCATGTTTTTAGCAAAATTGGAACATCCATTCATAATTACTTTGCATTAGAGCATTAGACATGCAGCATGCGCGACCCATAAAGGTTCTCTTATTTTAAGTCACATATTTTTATTGGTTGTTGTACACAACATTTAGGCCGCCTTCATGATGTTAAGACACCAAACCTGTTCCATTTTAAAATGTTGGGCATAGCTATCTTTTAACAATTGGATTTGAAATGAAATGAAATGGGGTTTAACGAACAATTGGATTTAAAAGAGATGTTTTGTACCTGTGTTGGGTAGGATTATATGCTTAATCGTGGTAGGATGTGGCAGAAATGTATTAAATAACAATAAGCTTAATCAAGCATTGTTTTGAAGATAAATTTGACAGTTTTGCTTATTGAAGTCTGATGTGATTCACATTGGGTTCTTCCAGAAGGAACTATATATAGTACCATCTCAAGACACACAGGGTCGAGAGATGAGGTTCCTTATTTGAGAGCGTATTTTTTTTACATTGCACATCCAGGTGTTTCACTGGATGAACGTATTTGCTTATGTGCAAATGTAAACTTACATGTCATTATATAAATTTGCACCAACTGTTACTGACCAAGTCAGAGCCAGATGCAAATGTACTTACGACATTCAGCGACAAACAACTGGCAATTTCTCATCGCTCTGATATCATAGGTGTACATGTACCGATACCAGCCTCTTGTATGTGACAGACCCGTCTACAGTTACAGGGGGGGGGGGGGGGGGAGGTAATAACTGAATTTTCACATGCAAATTGCTTTCATTTTTATGTATACACACAGTGATTTTGATAGGATCACTGGTTGCCTAAAAATTGCATGTCACTTCAACAAACGTACAAAATGCTGATGTTTGCAAAGCTTTAGAAAAGGGGCTTTCAGATAATATTTTCTGTTTATTACTTGTGAAGATGATTATAAAATTTAAAAGTTTATTATTTATAGAAATCTGGGGTTGGAATGTCTTAATTAATCATGATGGCTTCTAAAGGTGAAGAGTTACATATGGCTATACGAGAAAATAACAGTAAAAAAGTTGAATATAGTTTATCTCAGGGTGTGGATATTAATGTTTTGTTTTATGGATGGACACCATTGCAACTGGCTATAAAATTAGGTAAGTTACCGTAAAATCCTTGGGTACTTCTAGTGGCAACTGTTAACTGAACTTTTCATACTTAAAACTTATGTCACTTATTGAAAAGAATCATTAAATTGATTGCCAACTTATTTAAGAATTAGAGTTTTCAAACATTTTGGAGATTTGTGTAGGATTTAGTTAAGTTTGTATAGTATATTTAACTGTCTGCAAGACTGGACATGGTTTGTTTTTAAGAACTTTATTAAATACAATATTTCTACTTTAAAAGGTGTAAAAGGCTCTATGAATCATTTAGTGCTATAGCAATTCTTTGTAAACTACTATAGTGAAAGGTTATTCTTAAAATTAAATATGAATATCAATCCAAAAATGGTTCAGTTCTGTTCAGTACATGTATTTACAAAGTTATGATAATTGAAATCTCATTGATCTATGCTGCTAGAGCGTAACAAGATGCCACCATCTTTATTGGTAGCAGAGAAACCTGATGGGCCTATTTTAGTTTTGATTGAATAGAAGCTTGGAGATTATTTAAATAGCATTGGTATTTTGATTTTGTTTTCTTAATTAAATGTTAAAATAATCAATCGGAGTACATATTTAGGTGTATTAAGCCATGAGAAATTTGATATTTTAGCTAAAATGCAAATGAGGCATCAAACAGCCAATATAAATCTTGATAGAACTATTTCTGTCACTTCACAAACATAGAAAAATTCAGACAATCTAATTTCAGCTTGATTGACATATTAGTGGGCATAAAGTTTTTTGCCTGGCAACCTGTCTTTTTTATTCTTATGCTGGTACATATATGTTAAAATTTTCAGGCTTTGAGGAAATTGCAGTTTTATTGATTGAAAATGGATGTGATTTTAAATTCCACGATAATAAAAGTTTATCACCGTTTGAAATGGCTTTAAAGAAAAACCAAGTAATGGTCAGTATGAATACCTTTCTTAAATAACGTTGTGCTCACGGTCATGGTCAGTATCAAACCACAAGGGATAACATTTATACTCTTCAAAAAAAGTAGGGGATATTGATATGCAAATACCTATGCAGGTTGTGATATGATAAATAGTCATGGACACTTGACATGCTTTGAGAATATGTTCACAGATGAAGAACTTATCACGACACACAATAGCGCCATACACGTGGGAGGGGTTCATTGTCAAATTTGACACTTCAAGGAAGGGTTGATGAAAATGCCGCTTGCTGGTTTCTCCTATCCATGTATGCTTTCCTATCGGTTCTTGTATAAGATTTACTGTTTAGCGCATCTTTGCTTTAGTGTTTTACGTTTAATTTGATTGGGAGACCGACAACACTGCAAGGATTGGCCGTGGCACTGCAAGAGGAGTGGGTCAGATTGCCCCAAATCGTGTTTGGACGGTTGATTAGGAGCATGCCACGACGAATTGCTGAATCTCTGAGGATTGGTGGAACAATTACTCATTATTAAGACAAAAATCAAAAACATCCATTTTCACTTTTAACAGTGTATCTCTTTGCGAGTGAAATGGGGCCGTCAGATAAGCCGCCGATATGAACTGTTTATGTTCATGTGTATGCAATTTGCCTGTTATTAACATACACTGGTTACCTCTAATAAAAACAGCAGTGCATTTCCCAGTTTTGTATTGTTTCTGAATATCCCCTACTTTTTTTGAAGAGTATATAAACAGTTAGTGCTGGGATAACATTCATAATGCTATACATAGAATTATCCTTATTGAGTCCACGATCCGGTACATGCAAATACATATCATTTCCCTTGTTTGACATAGGATTTAGAGGGAAATTATTTTCATATTGTTGCAAGAGTGTTTCCATAGTTGTGTATGGGCTTCCGTAGATTACAAACTATGTGATTCACTTCAGGCGACACTATTTGACACATCAACACTTGATTTTTTTTTAGAGAAATTAATGTGAATTGTTTAAATGGAGATTTGTTTGTATATTATGTACATGTATGTTATTTTTGATATGGTTTGTATTTGATTATTGTAAATACAGCTGTTTGCTAGTGTCGCCTCAATGCCATTATTGTGTTATGTTATTTTTGATCGTACACTTATGGGGTTTATAATGAGAAGTTTTGATAGATCTATATGATTGCTACGACTGACCTCAATATATGATAAGACCTGATAAAATCACCACGTTACTCCACGATTAAAACCAAGCTAACCAGTTAGTGCTGAATGACACTTGTCCAAACAATACACATGTAAATTAAAGTAACAAATTGACAAGGGACTTCTTTTGAAATTTCCGTGTTTTAACACCTCTAGAAAGCAAATGGCCCAACTGAATAATTTATATAATGTAATTCTTTTATCTGCTTTCATCATTTTGAATCTTCTTCTAAACCATATCCTGAAAATGTCATTGAAAGCACCAATTGAAATGTGTTTTAATTGAAATATTAAAGTTTCAAAAAGTGTTTGGTGTGTATTAAACTCCTCATTTTAGGAATCATATAGGAGCACCTTAAAAGTGAAAATTAAATTAGTCATCCACCTGACAGATTTTAAACACTGGTTAGAAAAATTAGTGTTGGTAGAACTTGGGTATAACATTCTGTTAACTATGACTACTATTTATGTAAAGCAGGTTGTAGAGAAACTTCTGTTGAAAGGTATAGATGGTTGCCAACTGTTATCAACATCAGAACCACCTTTAATTTATGCTGTTAAAAAGGGGACATCCCTAATGGTACAAACTCTGATTAATGGTATGATGATTATTTTTAAGTTGGACTGGGTTTTTTCTTTAGCCTATAAACAGAATGTACTCATTTATACTCCATGTTTACTTTTTAAGAGAACACAATTATGACACTGGGTTATATTATTATATATGTCAGTTTGCGTTGATTTCTTTTATTTTTATTTTTCAGCCAATGTTGAAGTAAATTGCTGCAGTAGTGAAGGTGAAAGTCCACTTCATCTAGCCTGTAAAGAAGCTTCAAGTGACATTGTTAATACATTAATATCAGCAGGAGCAGACAAAGACGCTGTTTGCTTGTCATCAGGATTGTCTCCCCTTATGGTAGCCTGTATCAATGAAAATAAAGAAGCAATGAAAGTATTAATAACGGTAAATGTACAAGACTGCAAACATCTGTATTTTATACGCCCACATTTTCATGTGGACGTATTATGCCGTCGCCCCTGTCCGTCCGGACGTCCGTCCACCAAAAGATCTCGGCTGCTTTCGATATTGGCATGTATCGGGTCGAAACTTCATGGATTATGGCCCCTGTTTGTACGAAAAGTCACGTTTTTAGCTTGTGGACCCTATAGAGGTCACAATTTTATCCGATTTTGTTGAAACTTGAAATGTAAGTTTATAACCCAAAGATATTTGCGCATATCGGACAGTAACTTCCTGAATTATGGCCCCTGATTGTACGAAAAATCACGTTTTTAGCTTGTGGACCCTATAGAAGTCATAATTTTTATCCGATTTAAAAAACCGTTCTATTATGTCACCGTTACACTCTAAGGATGACTGAGTTCGAATTTCGTGAAAATCGGCCCAAAATTGACAGACAAAATGGCCGCCATTTGTTCCCAAATAGTGTAAGAATATGGTATATCAAGGTTGTGGATCCTTTAGGGGTCACAATTTTTATCCGATTTTGTTGAAACTTGAAATGTAAGTTTATAACCCAAAGATCTCGGTTTCTTTCGATATTCATGCATATCGGACGGTAACTTCCTGAATTATGACCCCTGATTGTACGAAAAATCACGTTTTTAGCTTGTGGACCCTATAGAAGTCATACTTTTTACCCGATTTAAAACCAGCGGCTGCCAGGCAGGATACGCCCACATTTTTGAGAGATGGATAGAGAACAAGCTAACAAGAAAGTGATTTTTCCTACAATCAAGGGCCATAATTCAGGAAATTACAATTCGATATGCGCATATATCGAAAGGAACTGAGATCTTTGTGTTATAAACTTACATTTCAAGTTTCAACAAAATCGGATAAAAATTGTGACCTCTATAGGGTCCACAACCTTGATATACCATATTTTTACGCTATTTGAGAACGAACGGCGGCCATTTTGTCTGTCAATTTTGGGGCGAATATCGGAAGGAACCGAGATCTTTGGGTTATAGACTTACATTTCAAGTTTCAACAAAATCGGATAAAAATTGTGACCTCTATAGGGTCCACAACCTTGATATACCATTTTCTTACACTATTTGAGAACGAACGGCGGCCATTTTGTCTGTCAATTTTGGGCCGATTTTCACGAAATTCGAATTCAGTCGTCCCTAGGGTGTAACGGTGATATAATAATACGTTTTTTTAAATCGGGTAAAAATTATGACTTCTATAGGGTCCACAAGCTAAAAACGTGATTTTTCGTACAATCAGGGGCCATAATTCAGGAAGTTACGATCCGATATGCACGAATATCGAAAGGAACCGAGATCTTTGGGTTATAAACTTACATTTCAAGTTTCAACAAAATCGGATAAAAATTGTGACCTCTATAGGGTCCACAACCTTGATATACCATTTTCTTACGTTATTTGAGAACGAATGGCGGCCATTTTGTCTGTCATTTTGGGCCGATTTTCACGAAATTCGAACTCAGTCATCCTTAGGGTGTAATGGTGATATAATAGAACGTTTTTTTAAATCGGATAAAAATTATGACTTCTATAGGGTCCACAAGCTAAAAACGTGATTTTTCGTACAATCAGGGGCCATAATTCAGGAAGTTACTGTCCGATATGCGCAAATATCGAAAGGAACTGAGATCTTTGGGTTATAAACTTACATTTCAAGTTTCAACAAAATCGGATAAAAATTGTGACCTCTACAGGGTCCACAACCTTGATTTTTCGTACAATCAGGGGTCATAAGTCAGGAAGTTACGATCCGATATGCACGAATATCGAAAGGAACCGAGATCTTTGGGTTATAAACTTACATTTCAAGTTTCAACAAAATCGGATAAAAATTGTGACCTCTATAGGGTCCACAACCTTGATATACCATTTTCTTACGCTATTTGAGAACGAACGGCGGCCATTTTGTCTGTCAATTTTGGGCCGATTTTCACGAAATTCGAACTCAGTCATCCTTAGGGTGTAATGGTGTAATGTCCGACTCAGCCGTCTGTAAACAAAAATTTTTTGGGCTATTTCATAGATCTGCCAGATTGTTTTAGTTCTATTTAAAATTTACGTTAATTATTTTTACTTTAATTAGAATGGTTGTGATATAAATGCACAAGATAAAGATGGTTGGACAGCACTGTGGTATGCTTACAGTAATAGAAATGAGAATCTCTTGAGACTGTTATTAAAATCAGGGGCAGATAAATCTGTTGTGACTAATGAGCAGAAGTCAGTGTTAGAAGAAGCAATACAGAATGACGAAGAAGAAATGATAGAATTGTTACAGAAATTTTATTAAAGTGATAGTTTGATAATTTTTTATAATGATATGTTGTGTGCTTCTATTTAAAAACAAAATAATGGAATACATTAAAGATATAGTCCTTTGGTAATCAGGACTGTAATTAGACTACTGTATGTTTAGAGATCAAAACTACCAAGAAAATAATGTAATTGTCATAATTAAATAGTTGGCAAGTAACAGTCATTTGAATATCAGATAAAATTCTTTAAAATATCTGTCATTTGTAGGTTTCAAATTCCATGCAGATTGAATTGCCTTTCTGTCCCTGGTCACATGCTGGCACTCAAAAATACTAGTTTGTTATTGTCCCCCCCCCCCCTTTCAAAGAAAGCAGGGACTATTAAAATGGGTCTGTCTGTCTGTCCCTCACACTTTTTCGGACACAATAACTCTCTTTCTAATTGAGATAGAATGTTCAAACTTGGTGTAGGTGTTCCTTGGGTCAATGCCTTGATGGAGTTCAAAGATGACCATTTTCTGCTTGGGGTAAGCAGAGATAAGCAATTTGATTGGTTGATGCTTTGGGACACGATAACTTTAGTTCTAATTAAGTGAAAATGAAGGCACTTAGTGTATAGCTTTATTACATCAATACCTTGACTAAGTTTGATAATGAGCATTTTCTGCTAAGGGTAAGCAGAGCGATAGACAATTTGATTGGTCAAGACTTTGGAACACAATAACTCTCCTTCTAATTCAAACTTGGTGTAGGCGTTCATTAGGTGAATGCCTTGATGGAGTTCGATGATAAACATTGTATGCTTACGGTAAGCAGAGATAAGCAATCTGATTGGTTGTTGCTTTGGGGCACGATATGAAGTGAAATTGATGAAACTCTGAATATAGATTCATTATATCATTACCTTGACTAAGTTCGATGGTGGGAATTTTCTGCTTAGGCTAAGGAGCGATAAGCAATTTGATTGGTCAAGACTTTGGAACATAACAACTCTGCTTTTAACTGAGGTAGAATGTTTAAACTTGATGTAGATGTTCAATGATTAACATTCAAGCTGAACCTAAGCAGAGCTAATCAATTTCATTGGTCGATGCTTTAGGACAAGATAATCTTGATTCTATCTGATAGAGAGAGATATAACTTAGTGTATAGTTTGATTGCTGGATACTTTTGAAAAAAATAAATGTGCGATTAATTAATATGTGTCATCTATTTATTTTGGGATTTCGGCGGGGGACATCTGCCTCACTTTTGGCTTGTTTCATTGTTTAAGACTTAATAAACATCCTACCATTTTATTTCATTGATTAAAGGCTTAATAAGGTCATACAAAAAAATATCCTGGTTCTCAGCCAACCCTTACCAAAAGTCAAAGGATCACTAAAATAATATTATTGTATATTTATATCGCACTGTTTCCATCCACAAATGCATGCTCAAGGTACGATCTCTGTACACATCAACATTAAATTTCGAGACACTACATTTATTTCATCATGTTGCTTATAGGAATCTATGATTATCCAGTATCATTTATGATTGTCATTAGCATTGATAAAAAAAAGCCTATGGATTCACTTCCTGTAACATCGGTAAAATATTTATATGCAGTAATTAATGAGACCATTTTGTTTTGTTTTGGTTTGGTTTGGTTTTTTTTTGCAAGAAAATCGTGTCATGCATTCTTTTTAAGCAACGCAGGATTATCTGAGAACCAGGTCTTATCATTTTATTTTTCGTGGTTGTTAGAAGCCTCATATTTAATTCAGATAAAAGTCCATACCTTTATTGGTACATAAATACTATAAAACAATAGTGGTTACAGTGCCTTACTATTCGCTATAATAGTCTTATAGACAGTTTCATATTGAGGTAGCCCAATTCACCTCCTGCACAATATTTTGACCTTATTAATACATATTGTTATTGGGTTAGAGTTATAACAGTTCATATGAAAATAAGTGCAAGAAACAGTGGATTCCTAAGAAGCAGAAAAGTAAATTTTATAAATTATGCCAAACAATACCTGTTGGAACAGTCACAGAGTTGGTTATTAACGTTGTGGCCGTTTCAATGAACCGACTTGTTTAGATAATTTCGAATGCACCCAATTTTATACTGCCCCTGTATACGCATTCTCAAATATTCTAGCAACATTTCAAATAACTGTTGTGGCTGAGGAATTGAACAAAAAGATCTTTTATAAAATGCATAATTCCATGAAAATTAAATTAAACAAAAGGCTTTGTTTTATCAATATGTCTGTCTTTGTCAACATGTGGCTGAGGAATTGAAAAAAAAAGATCTTTTAAAAAATGTGTAATTCCATGATAAATAAATTAAACAAAAGCCTTTGTTTTATTAATATATGTCTGTCTTTGTCAACTTATTAAATCTCCCATACATTTTAATAATGCTGTTACTGAATATCACTCAACAATCAAACAATATAATAAATATTGATTTAAAAATCAATATTTATTATATTGTTTGATTGTTGAGTGATATTCAGTGGGGTTTAATAATGGATGGTTGTAGTGAAAATCAACTTCAACTTCAACTTCTTTATTCTCCAAAACTATATATACATAGTTATTGAGATAATGTATATTTATATACAAAGATTCAAACTTAAATGACATGTGCGAACAATTAAGTAATATCAATAATTAGTAAATAATATTGACAACAACAATAGTGGTGTATATTAAGTATATAACAAAAGGTTTTCATGGAGGATTAATTTTTGATGTAATGATTTTAATGAGTCGACATAACTTCTGTAATACAACAGTATTTTTACAATTAAAAAGACTTTGAAATTTGAATATATTTGGGCGATTTTGGCACCAATCTAGCAATAATCTTTTTCTTTCAGAAGAAAAATATTTACAATTTAAAATATAGTAAAATTCGTCTCCGATGTCGGCTGAGTCACAGACATGACATAGTCTTTCGTTTCGTGGTGTTTTATTCCACCTCCCCGACTCAGTCGGTAATCGGTGACTCCCAAGTCTGAATTTAGACAAAATTTGTATGTTAATGTTTGTTAAATTATTAAAATATGGTTCTTATTTGAATTCGGTTTTAAATATTTTGTAACAAAGACATTTTGGTGAAAGTTGTATATCTGCTAAACATTTTTGTAAGAATTGATCTTTTAGTGATATTTCAGTGATATTTCAATTCTTTTAGTTGTCCAATTATCTACTATTTGACAGTTCCACGTATAGGAAAATCCGGTTTCATTTAAAATAGTTTTCAAGAAATAAATCCATTTGCAATCAAAATTATATTTGGAACTGTTGATATATAAAAGTTTATATAAGGAAAACGATAGTTTACTCGGTTTACCGTTTAAGAGTCTATTCCAGAATTGTATCATCCGCATTTTAATAAGGACTTGTATTGGAAGTTTTCCGAGTTCTGCATATATCATGCATTTTGGAATGGTTTGTCGTAAATTTAGAATTGTCTTGTAAAAATTTAATTGTATTTTTTCCAATTTATCTACATTTTCATGTTAATTAGCAATATACTGTATTCCAACATCAAACTACTCATGAATGTTTCCTTTGATTACACCAAGCAAACACAATTATAATACCTTGAAAACAATGGGTCAACTAAAATTAGTTTGGGGAAAATATTTCTGGAACACCATGTAACAACTATACATGTATATATCATTCTAAACTAAGCTAATATATAAATAATGTAATAATTACCGGTAATTCGGGAAACTGAAGGAGCTATTGAACCGTCCAGTTATTTTTGTGTATTGTATTTTTCAGATGTTTTGGGGGAAAAACTCCCCTTGTATATAAATTGTTTGTTAATAATATTTGTTTAATTTTGTATCTTTGTTATTTATTTTTGCTTCTTTTAGAAATAAAAGATTTTATTTGTTTACCAGTTTGTTCGCCATAACTTCATAATAAGCTTCTTTTTTTACAGGGAATCTAATGGTGCTATTTATTTTGGTATTTCGCCAGTGTTTAATGATAAAATTGGTGACTAATGATGTTTACAACCATACTAGAACATACCATACTTTTGTACAATGGTCGTTTACCTTCAGAGAGAGAGAAATGGGGTTTAACGTCCACTCGACACAAACTAGTTCATTTCGGGACCAACATATGGTTCAATTTTATTCAATACCTCGCTTGCGCATAGGTGTCTTTAGCAGTGGGAGGAAACAGGAGGACCCGGAGAAAACCCATGGGGTTGGACGTGCATTATTCAAGAGCTAAATCTGCCTATTGCAGGTTTTTCTTTAAGCCTTAAATGTTATCCAAATAATTAATTAACTTATCCAGACGATAATCAACTCCCAATGCCATCGTTAGCCTGCAATATTTAGTGGATTTGAATACATTTTGTGGTGAATAATTTAACATAAAAATGGATAATTGAAACTTTTTTATTATCGTACCAACATTAGTACTGCTGATAGAGGCTTTCCCAAGGAATATGATAAGCGGTATCGCATCGCAGTTTGCTCAACAAAAACGACGTAATTACGAATCAAATATTAATTTGATTAGCAGAAAGTTATCAAATTTAAGGGAAACTGCGAATCAAGTTTCTTGTCGTAAAATAAGCGCGAAAAAATGTTGAACAAACGTGATTTACCGTTCCACTGCGTACGGACATTTTAATCCCGTTGATGTCGGTCGACGAGATTAAAAGTAGTCAAAGATTAGTCAATAAACTAATTGTAAGCTAACCCTTTGACAATTAGTAAGTAATTAGTACATGAACAGACGTTCATCAACGTTTTAATCATTTTCCATTCACTGAACAATTAAATATTCCGTAGGCTATAATCATTCGAAAAATATATCCACGTGAATCGCGCCCTGTTATTAGCTATACACACCAGTTTAATTTTTATTCGATTATACCCCCGTCAGACGGGCCTTACCGGGTGACGTCCTTATTCGCTGCTGCGACCGTACCGCGACTAGAAAATGCACAAGGTCGCCGTCAAACGTAAACACATCGCGAGGAATTGTTCCAAAAAATTTACAAACTTGATAAAGTCTCGTTCTTTACCCCGTCAGACCGGGTTGGCGCCTTTACTGCGCTACTACGTCGACGGAAAATGGCCCCAGAGCGCGTCAAGATCGCAATAAGCGTGGTGGAAACGCCAGATATCGCGCTGTGGTCTCGGTGGTCGCAAAAGATCGCCGAGTCACGGCGTTTGTTTTGTGCATGTTTGTTTATCTATATTTTAACTATTATGGCGAGAACTGTCAGCTTTTTTATCTTACCTAATGCCCTTTAATTGGAAAATTCCTAACTCAAAACTATACAGATCTTCGATTTTTTGGCCCAGAATGTACAACTCGTGTGTTTAGCTTTTGAACTGCTTGAGGTCACAATTTGTATTATACGTCCACATGTCTTCGCCACTATTTGTGGACACTCTACAGGTCACAATTTTTATCCGATTTTTATTATACGCATATATTGCCGTCGCCCAAGGCCCGTACGTACGTCTGTACGGCGTCCGCAATTGCTTGTGGAAAATTGCTTGTTGACGCTTAAGGGGGTAAAGTTAATATCGGATTGACTTTAAATTTATACACGGTGTTTAAGGTCGTGAGACGAAGAAACTTAGAGAATCCTATTGATTTTCAACAATTTCCCATAATTACTGCCAGAGTGAACACCCTTGATCACTTTGAAAATTCTTGTGGACGCTCAAGATGCTAAAACGATAATAATTTTTACCTTTATAATAGAAACATTTTAAGATATGTTATTACCGTAAACATATTAAAATATCGCAAACTGTGCTCGCAGAAAAGGGTATGTTCACTTTGCATCAAACAGTATTCAAACCAGCTTTGGTGGCAAATTGTTCTTTATTTCACAGATTCAAGGGATGAATAAACTACTAGACTGTGAAATTTCATAAGCCTCCTATGTTGCATTGTATTCAGGACGCCTATTTCACACAAAATCGTATTTTATATCCAAGTGGACCTTCCATATAAACATATATCTGCATAATAAGTTTATGAAAATACGCATTTAAACAACATTTAAATATCATCTACCACCTGTAGCACTTTCAGGCAAACTCAAAATAAATTGTTTATTGAAATTTTCAATTAAACGGAAACGTTCTTGTTGCTGTAATATACCCCATTAAAATACCAAGTGTTAATTTATATGCTAATTTAAGGCCTACCATGTAATACAAAAATTTGCAACACGTTTTAACGGTTTTTAAACAGTTAAAACGTGTTGCAAATTTTTAAAAAACATCTTTCTGCATGAAATGACAATAAATTGTGTATTGGATAAAACGGAAACATATCTTATTTTCTATTTTGCACCTGTAAAATAATATACGATTTACCATTTTATATAGCGTATTTCTACTGATGATTAAAGGAGCTAAGTCTCTAATTCAATATTATCCAAAACATTGAAAACACGATTTATTTGTCAAATTAAATCAACATTCATGTTGTGACCTTACCGGAAAAAGATGGGCTTTTGATATCCAATATTTAAGACAAAATAAACATTTTACCATTGGTACACGAATCGTGTACCATAATGCGCTTCAGCCCCAGATGTATCAAGAGACTCGAGGGACGAGGCTAGACACATTGCACCAAATCAAACGGCGTATGTAGACTGGAATAACCAGACGCTAGAAATTTGCACTCGCTTGAGACTGCTGGCTTATTTAGCCAAACATAACTGATTTGAAATTGGAGTAAAAATGGAAACCATTGAATGTAAATCAACTTATATACATTCATATTACAGTATTATATGCGTTGCGACCCACTTTTGTCAATTTCTAGGTCCCAAATGTTAGCGATTTAGCTCCTTTAATTGAGGAAAACAAGAATGCAGAAATTTGCAACACGTTTTAACATCCTATCTTTCTCCTCCCTTGTTAAGAACGGGCTGAACAGGAGTATGTTAGTTTCAGGGGTCCCGAAACTGGTTGTTAATGTTCATGAATTTACGTCGTTTTTGATGAATTGCTAATGTTGCCGCAAGTTAAATATGTGCAGAAGCTAGAAACACCAAGATATACATGTACATGTACTCTATAAAGCACAATTTAAAGCAGGGGCGTGCTGGCAGGGAGTTTAGGAGGACGGTGTCCTCCCAGGCCCCCATTAAACAATAAGTCCACCCGTATAAGCGGGCCCCCCTGAGAGCTCTAATTTTCACGCGGAATCCCCTAAAAAAATTGAGAGTGCGCACGCGAAAAATCATACATACACAACGATTAGTAAAATATATTATGCTGACGTGCAAATGTCTGTCACCTTAAGGTGAAATGGTCTTTGATACATGTATTCATGCCTCGATATGTATAAGATGCAATTTATTATTTGGATAGAAATACATTGTATTAGCATTATATTAAGCAGACCTGTCATGAGTGTCTTGTGTAGTACAGTAGTATGTCTTATAGTCAAAATAGCAGCATAAATTTGGAAAATATGATACCTAGATTTATCCCAGAAGTGCTTGCAAAACGCCTTTCCCGTTGTCGCCTTCGGATTTAAAGTCTGTTTTACTAAAGAAATCTTGCGCCTGTTCGGCGAGAACCCCCACCGGACCCCCGCTCTTACGGAGCAGGGATCACTCTGCCCCTGGGGTATCATTAGGACCGACATTAACCACAGGTTCATTTCTGCCTATTTTATTGTCTAGTTAAGTGTCTATTGATGATGAAAAACAGTATTGTTGTGGCAATCACAAGAACTTGTGAAATGAATAACAGACAATCTTATCGGAAATTAATTTTTGAACCCCATATTGAATTCAGTAACTCTGAAAACTTTATTTTTGAAGGAATATCCAAAAGAACAAAAATCGCCATATTGGATTCTATTTTTTATTGTCGTTTTACATTGTCGATTGAAAGAATTACATCAAATTGACGATACACCCGAAAACTTGTAATTGTCTTCAGTTGATATTTTTCCCTGCCCAACCTCAAACGATCGAAATGATGGCACTTTGTTTTGATTACAACGCGTGGTTGTCTAAATATCTGCCAAAGTTAAACCACCTCCGCAACAGCTTCACTGGTTTCGTCCAACACGTGAAAAGTAAATAGGTCAAATTTCAAGAGAGAACCTTTTTATTGTAGAATGGATTTTACTTAACGGGAGGTGATTTCAAACACACAAATAAGTTTATAATAACCAAAGTTTAGTAGTTTGTTCATAATGCAGGAAGAAATCCGTTTAAAATTTACGACAGTAAATGTATAAGGATTTCAATTTTCAGTAGGGAAATTTGTGGCTGCAGAGGGCACCCTACTTATATTCACATATCTTTTAGCGCACACAGGAGTTTTCGCTCACTATCGTGTTTATTATTCCGCCACTGACCAACTGTTAAACGAGTTCACAGCCCACCGATTTTGGCGTAAGGTATTTCTGGGCATGGCATTGTTGGTACATGCACTGGCGTCTTTTTGTCACTCGAAATTGAAAAGCGTTTATATTTTTTATCTTCCTTACAGTCCGAAATAAATGAAATGACATGGGGTTTAACGTCCTACTGTTCGGCTCCGAACTGGGCTAATGAAGACGGTTATACGCCATACAGTGTGCTATGAGGGAAATTTTGCCCGGACAGCGGCGCTACGGCCTACTCTTATATCGAATTCCAACTGTCAAGGGATCTTTTACGTGCACGCCAATGTGTACACGGGACCTCGGTTTTTCGTCCCATCCGAACGACTAGACAGCCAGTCCGAAATTCTGAATACATTAAATCCTTGTTAAATCGAATCGCAGATCTATATGATACAGCGCGCACGTGTTAACCATTCGACCTTCGGCCTTCTATAGGTTATTTCACATATCGACCCTCGATGGGGGTGGGGTGGGGGTTGGATGGCCGAATGGT